AAAGAAGGATCATCTTTTGTTATATATGCTATGCCCGTTTCTAATGATGAAAAAACATCAAGTAGTATTCTTAACCAATATCAAGAATTCTAAAATATTTTTTAAAAGAAGAATGCAAATATTCTTCGAAGGCATTAACCTTATGATTGTTCAATTGATTAGTAAGAAGGAGCTCAACTACCATTTGGACCATTTTATAGCTTATCGCAAAATGAGTTGGTTGCATTAAAAGACCACTTTGATGAAAACTTGGTAATAACTTCATATACCATTCTAAATTTCTAACTAGGGCTTTTATCTTATTTGTAAAGAAGAAAGACATATCTTTTCAGATGTGTATAGATTATCGATGACTCAATAAGATCACCATTAAAAATAGATATCCTATGCATTTGATTTCAAGACTTCTTAATCAACTCAATCAAGCAAAGATCTATACCAAAATAGATCTATGAAGAGCATACAACTTAGTTCGTGTCAAAGAAGGAGATGAATGAAAGACTACTTTTTGAACTAGATATGGATATTTTGAATATAATATTATGCTTTTTGGAATCACAAATACATCGGTCACTTTTTAACATCTTATGAATAATATTTTTGTGAGTTTTTAGATGATTTTATTATTTGCTATTCAGACAACATTCTAATCTACTCTAAGAATACAAAAGAACATCACCTATATGTTTGTCGTATATTACAGAAACTTAAAGATGCAGGATTATATGCCAAGTTGAAAAAGTGTACATTCCATACTACTCAAGTTGATTTTTTAGGATATATTATTTTCAATGAAGGTCTTATGATGGATCCCAAGAAGGTCCAAACTATCATAGATTATAAGATTCTAAGAATAGTACAAGATGTACAATACTTTTTGGGCTTTGTTAATTATTATCAAATCTTCATCAAGAACTTTTCTCAAGTTACAGCTCTATTTATACGTTTGACTTGTGAAGACAAACTTAAGGGAAATAAAGAAGTCGAAGCATCATTTGATGCTTTAAAGAAGGAGTTTATTTTTGTACCAATCTTATATTGTGTCGACTTTTTTAAAGTATTTTTTATGTAAATAAATATGCCAAATTTTGCTATGGATGCTATGTTGTTACAAATAAGAACATATGACAAACTCCACCCAGTAGCTTTTTATTTGAGAAAATTTTCAATAACTAAGATTAATTATGAGATCTATGACAAAATATTCTTTGCAATTGTGGATTCATTTCAAGAATGGCATCATTATCTAAAAGGCGCTTCAAGTCTAGTCATTGTATATATGGATCATAAGAACCTTAAGTATTTCATGTCAGCATGTGTTTTAAATTGACATCAAGACCATTGGAGCATATCTTTATCCAGATTCAATTTCAAGATTACTTATCAATCCAAAAAACAACAAGGTCTATCACATACCCTTTTTAGATATTCTTATCTTGTACCAAAAGAAGAAGATGCATCTTTTGATCAACAAAGAATGATTCTCTTCAAGCTAGAATATTTTTATCTTCAAGCAATAAATATCAACATTAACTATTAATGTAATCTTTGTCAAGCAAATTCAATCAAATATGTCCTTTGTATTTTTTATTCATGATATCAAAAATACTTTCTCTAAGTCCTATGATACTTCAAAGTTTGAATTCAAGAATAATCTACTATATTTTGAAGATCGCCTATATATTCTAGAAGACAAGGAATGATTACGTGTTCTTCAAGCACATCATGACTTTCTAGCAATACGATATTTTTGGATACAACAAGACTTTAAAGCTTATATCTAGAGATTTTTCATGGCCGCAAATGTAAAAGGTGGTAAAAGACTTAGTTCAATCATATGATACTTGTTTAAGATCAAAAACTCCTTGTCAGCAACCATGTCAACTTCTTCAACCATTGCTTATATCTAAACAACCATAGTCTTCTATTTCTATGGATTTTCTTATAGATCTTCTAAATTCAAGTTCATATAACTTTATATTTTTAATTATAGATTACTTCACCAAAATGGCACATTTTATATCATGTACAAAATCTATTTCAGGTGAAGAAACAACTAAGCTTTTCATTGTTAATATCTATCACTATCATAGATTACCAAAGGATATTACATCAGATAGAGGAACTCAATTTATATCAAGATTTTAGAAAATCCTATTTAAGATTCTAAAAGTGGATATAAAGCTCTCTTTGGCTTTTCATCCTCAAATTGATGGACAAATAGAATGGATGAATCAAGTTCTCGAGTGGTATTTGAGATATACCATCAACTATCATCAAGATGATTGGATAATTTTTTTTTACTATTGGTAGAATTTACAAACAATAATTTGATACATTCTTCTATTCAACAAATATCTTTCTTTTTTAATTATGATTATCATCCACAACTTGATATTTTTGACTTTTTAAAAGTTAATAATCTTGCAATAGGACATTTATCAAATCGTTTGTTTGAGTTACATGCAACAATGAAGACACAATTAAAGGAACCTCAAGAATGACAAAAGACCAATATGGATGCCTATCACAAGTAGCAACCATAATTCAATGTAGGTGACAAAGTGTAGTTACTTCATTGTAATATCAAGACTACTTGTCTTTATGATAAATTGGACTATTGTACGCTACAATTTTTTTCTATTTGTGAATAAATGAATCATGTTGCTTATCAATTACATCTACTAGAGTCTATAAAGATCCACCTTATATTTCACGTGTCCCTTATTGAGTTGTATAAGATAGTGAATATCTTTGGAAGAAGACAAATGCCACTTCCTCCTATAGAAGTGGATAATAATCACAAGTTTGAGGTGGAAGAAGACTTATATTCAAGGCGACATTGAAATAGATTGAAATAACTTGTTTATTGGCTTGGATATGATATTAGTGAACGCACATAAGAGCCATCAAAGAATCTTGCAAATGCAACAAAGAAGGTTGAGGCCGTTCATCAACAACATCTATCAAAACTAAGATAAAGAAATATAAAGATCCATGAAAGATGATGATCGCTCCTTGTAGAACTCATTCCTAGAAGGAGAGATAATCTCACTAGCATATACATTTATCTCAATAGTTACTTATATGATTACGTAGAAGTAGATAAATATAGATTAATTTCATAAAGTCTTCTAGAAAAGCTTTCTAGAAGCTTTATAGATGTGGTTTTGACTTTAGATATATTTATAGGATAGAAACTTAGCCAACAAGTTAACCACGTATTGATAGCTTATAGAAAAAATTAACTCCATATAGTAGCTTGTGGAACAAGCTAACTATGTCGTGCATACATAGATAACTTGCCTTGTAAATTAAGACATGTGGCTAGCAAAGTCAATACATGTTGGAAGTCCTATAGAATGTTGCCATATAGCTCCTAATTAGAAAGTATATATTGAGGCAAGAGTGAAGCCTTCTTCACTCTTGCCAAGGCCTTTCTAGTCCTTAGTCTTGTTTCAAGACTTTTTAGTCTTCTTGTTTTTGGCAATAGCCATTCTAATTCAATATTATATCATTTTTGAATGACTTTCTAATTCCTTTCAATAACATAAGAGTGTATTAAGGATTTTCTTTCTTCAAGATTCATGTCTTTGACATCTTGTAAACACAAATCCTTTCAAAGCATTTATAAGTTTTGTCTTATAGGTTTTAAGTTACTATTTCATAGTCTTATGATTAAGATGAAAGCATCTTTGACTTAAAGAATTGATTAACTATGTAATTTCATGATAATTTGTCATTTTAGTCTATGATGCAATTTCAATCTTTATTGGCAAAGAAATATCAAATCTGATATCAAAGTATTACTTATCTTCAAGGTAAGAGATAATGTTGAAAAAGTCATTATTGGCCTTGTTATAGACTACTTTCTTTAGTGTTATAAGAGTTGATATGGTGAGGTACAAATGAATGATGTATTAAAGTTATAAAATCATAATTGTAATATTAGTTATTCAAAACAGATAGATAGAATCACCAATAAAGAACATAAAAAATAATGATGTTTGTTAGAATGATGATAGAACAAGGTTACAACATTGGTTTGATGTCTTTAAAAAATATCAAGTATTGCTTATATATCTTATATTTAGTACTAAAAATATTTTCTTCATTCAAATCATTAATCTAAAGTAAATATTATAAATCCTAGTATAATCTTTTAGAATGATAATAGAAAATATGCCTTTTCATGATTGGCTATATAGCAAACCTTCCAGCTATTGATAACATTATCACTCATATAACATTCTTGATATCACATTTCTTGTTTTTATGGTTGTTATGCATATCTTTTTGGAAAAAAAGAGAGAATGTTTATCAAACAATACAAATATATTGCAAGAATATTTTGAAGGTAAGAATCCAAACACAATAGAATGAACAAGAAGTTCACTTTAGTAATACAAAGAGGGTTTGATCAATGCTTGATGTTAAGGTTAAATGAGCAATGGTGTCTAGAAAGTGAAAGAAGACAATGAAAAGAAATACAATGACAACTTTGCCAAAATTGTTTTGAATATACAAAGAAAGGAATGGAATAAAAAAATCATAAATTTCAGCTAATATTTTCATGGGTTTATGTTACAAAAATTATGTTTAGAACTTATAATATTTAAAATGAAGTAGGATATATCATAGCATATCAATAATATACCTAAGGTGTTAGAAATTGGTCTTTCAAACTAGCAAGGACTTATATTAAATGTGGACCAGTATTGATATGAGTAGTGATCTATAAAAATTTGGAACTTATATGATTTTGGGATTTAAAAATTTGACCCCCCTATTATTATCATTTAATGTGTGTATATATATACAATAGAGTAGCTATTGGAATGCCTTGCAACCACGATCCCAGACTTGGGAACAGAGGGAACTGCATGCGCACGTAGGAACGCGGACACCCAGGAGAGGCCACGACCGACAAAGCAAACGCTGCTCGCCTCGATTACGACCCACCCTCAGCGTCGCCTCCCTCCCTCGCTTCGGCACCAACGTTGCCCAGCATTGGTAATGACTTGCCCCGAGATTCGGAACTGGATTATGACTGCCCACATCTCAATCGAGTTTCGGCTTGTGGGTTTCGAAGCACGGGGCCCAATTCACGAAGTCGACGGCTGACACAGTTAGGCCAGCGCCACTACAAGTCCTTGCACGGATCGTCACAGGCACCTTCCACACGAGCTTCGTCTTCATGGCCCGCGTCGATCAGTACCTTCCTCACACTCTCTCTCCCTCCCTCCCTGTGTTGCGATCTGTGGCTTTGTTTCCTGTTGGTTTGGGTGCGCTAGCTTCGTAGCATGTCAACATTGCGTGCGCGTGGAAGCTCCGAATCGTTGAAGTTGCTCTTCCTGATGTCCACGCGTGCTCTCTGTCCTTCTCCTGCAGATGCTCTCGCTGCGGATTGCCTTGCACAGGAGAAGCGGATCCCTGCCCTTGCTGCCGATTTCACTCACTTGTCCGCGCTGAGGGGTAGTGCTCTGTATGGACGATAGACGCGAAGATGTGTGTGTGTGTGGGTGGGGTAGAGAGAGAAAGAAAGAGGGTGAAAGAGCGAGACAGAAATTTGTTGGATTTTGAAGGGAGAGTGGCGGTCTGCTAGTCTTGGCCTATTTGTGTGATTCTGTCCCGATGTCGTAGCAGGGGAGTCAGGGAGCGTGGGTATGGGATGTAGAAATTGTAGAAATAGCGGCCTTGATGACTCGCCCATGTGCTTCTCCGCTTCTTTGTGGAGTGTCGCTTCCTGATTCCTTTTTGGTCATTGTGTAAAAAGTTTTTACGGGATTATAATTGGGGCAAATTCCATTGCTAGTGACTTTGCGTGCTCAACACCTGGAAATCTTGTTTCCACAGCTGTTGAATGCAGACTTTGTGAAAACCACATCGTGTCGTCTAGTCGATGAAGAAATTACAGTGTGTATATGTGGGGTTTTGTATTGAACGATCAGTTAGGTTTGACGGGGTTCTTGACGTGCTTACCTGCAGAATTAAGCCTTGCAAAGCATCTTCAAATGTGGATCTTGTTGTAAACCATGAAGGTTCTCAGACTCACACATTTTTGTCTGGTTAACTGGATATGCGCTTCTGCGTGACAGTCACTTATTCTGGAGGTGTTGCCGACTCTGATTTTGTAGGAGAACGTCTAGCATGACGAGACCCTTGTCATAATGTGCTTTGTAGTCAACGTGGCGGTGGACGGTACTCCAGGTTGAAGAGGGCTTGGTGTACATCGTATCTTCTGATCCTGTCATCTTTCTCGAGCAATGTAGATGTTTTCGGCGCTTAATTTTAATTGACCCCTCAGCAGAAGGATAATCATTCCGCTCTAGTGCACACTGCACAGGGTCAATTCTATACGAAGTGAAAGAAAAATTCGATCCTCATGTCGTTCAATTCAAGATCTCTTTCCCGGATCATCTCCGTCCCGGGCCAGCGAACGTCAGGATCGGAAATCTACGAGAACAGCAGCAGTGAGCAGATTGCCAGGTTCAACTTCCATGAAAACGAACCACCTCGGTTCCACTTTCCCGGAGCAGTGAGGAAATTTGCCTACAGGTTCGATGGCAATGGCAAATTCTTCAAGAAAACATGGGACTTGATGATGGAGGTATCTGAAGGCTTTTGCTGGTACCATGTGGAGCTTCCAAGGTCAAGCCAGAAATTGTCCATGTCCGCAGAGTATCTCATAGACGTCCTGTGCCCTCCTCTTAAACTTCAAGAAATTCTCGCCCTTGTGAGCAGTGGTCCCTTTTGTGGCACAGTCGATGGCGCTTTGGTGTTTAGGGTGAATTCAGCCGGCCCTTGCGCAAGTAAGTTCACGCAAAGAATTTCTGCCTTGGTCACTGACAAAAGAGTGATCAGCGTCTCGCTTGGTCGTGTGTCGAGGTTGGATTTCTCAATAGCCTCCGCTCGCTCGCTGTTGTCTGAGGTGCCATTGATTGAACCCAAGGAGCAGAGCTGTGGGGAAGGTTTAAGCTACATCGGGACTACAAAGTCTGGGGGTGTTGTCATCCAAGAGCACGTGCTGGAGTTTTTGTTGAGCAGGAATACCTTTGAGGAGGCGGAGAATGCTATTCCTAGAGGGTTGGGTAATTTATTGGTGCATATCATTGACACTCATGTGGACCAGCTACACGAGATTGTGCTGCAGCTGGAGAGTCAATTGGACGAAGTTGAACGAGACTTGGACATAGGTGGGTACTTGCTTCTGCTTATTTTGATCGTAAGGTATTCTTAAATACGAACAAGTAAACAGTATGTAGGTCTGTAGGTAACTGATTTATTTGTCATTGCTCTGCTGTAGGTGTGGGTGCGACGAAGAAGCAGATGTTGGACGACAGGCGATTTCCCAAGATGCACTTGAACCTGCAAAGGCTGTTACAGGTGATAGCCCATGGTGACCAAGTGTTTCCCAGAGTGAAGGATAAATGCGCTGGGAAACCTTGGTGCTCCTCTGAAGATTTGGCCATGCTTGAGGCATTAGTGGGGCGATTACGCAAGCTGAAAGGGAATGCGGGTTTCATTGTGAGTCGGATAACAGCCATCCAAGCTGGACTCGATAGCTGGCAAGCAGAACAGATCAACCGCAAGCTGTACTACTTATCATTTCTGTCTATGTTGTTTCTTCCGCTCTCAATCGTCACCGGAGGTTAGTGTTGAACTCCCAACTTGAACCCTAGCGTGTATTAGCTCTCATTTGAAGGCTTCAGTTATTAGCTACCTGAGGAACCTTTATACTTACGAGCTTCAGTTCTGCCCTGTTGAAGCATTCGGGATGAACGTGGGAGGAGTACCGTGGACAACGCAGACAAATCCAAAGAACATACATGGATTCCGCAACATCATGTTTATATGTGCTGCTATTGTAATTATTTTGCTGCTGATCTTTGGAGCTGTGCCCTTATACAACTACCTCGTTACCGGTAGCCGTCAAGGGACAAGGGATAGGCGACTTCGGTTGCAGAAGTCCATTCGATACCGAAGTGGCAATCAGCGGCACCCTGTTTATCTTCCTCTTTAAGCCATTCCTTCACATTGTTGTAGATTTATGAATTCTTGTCGAGCTACAGTTCTTCGAACCATTGCAGGACATGACTATGATGAATATCATCAAAATCAATCCAGTGGAAAGCAAACCCCAGTTCTTTTTCTTTTCTCTTTTTTTTTAGCTTTTGTTTGTGAATTGTTCACTTGTGATAGTTTTCGATGGAATTGTAATGTTACCAGGAGTGAAAAGCTTCAAATATGGTACCAGAGCAAGTACTAGGGATTATTAATGATAGCCTTGCGGATGTGCACTTACGCTGTTATTAGTCTTATAGTTGCAACACATTTTGCTGTGCTAATTCAACCCAGTTACCAATTATGGATTCCAATCAAGTTTCCTTAGTAACCCTCAAAGTAGTATCATGTGAACGATGCCAATGCGCCTGTTTGGGTCTAATATGATGTTTGCTTTATGGATAGCGCTGATATCAATTGCAATAGAACAAACGTACCATCTATCTCCAAACAAAACGAAGATGGACAGCTGTTCGTGTTCGTGTATGAAAGCCATGGATTGTATCATCAACACCTAGTTTTTTGCAATACAATTTGTGGAAGTTGGTCGTGTGAAAATCCAGATTACCTCAGCTTTAAACTCACAAATTCTATCAGGAACTTAGCAAACCTACAGAACAGTAGATAAACTTCACAACCACAACAGCACGATCTCAACGCTTTGGTCTTTGGAAGGAAAAGTGAACGATGAGACGTTATTGTGTGAGCAAGTTCACGGGGATCATTTCTTTCTGAGCATTACTTTTATCTTTATCTTTAGGGCTTGGGGTTCGTCCTGCCTCATTACAATCAAATGTGGACCAGTATGCAGGGCACTGTTTCACAAGCTTGCGTTGGATTTGTGTGGTAACTCGGCCATGAAGACTGGAGCTGAACTGAAGTCAAGCGAAGTTTCGATGTTCTGTAGATATTAAATTATGCTATTGTAGGATTGCTGGTGTTGCCGGATCGCCCTCTTGGTATTGCAAGCATGGAAAAAGAGTTTTTTCATGGTGCAGTGTGAGATTCAAGGCGCAGCTAGGAATCGGCATTGAGGATCAGGATTCTGGGTTTTGAATTCGGCGTCATGTTTCAGGGCGTGCACATGAGGCGGTGCGAGGTCTGGGCGAGTCCATCACATGCTACGCAAATTTGTACTAACAGTCTTGGGAGACGCTCGCCATCGCGACTCGCTGTCCTCTGTAGATTGAGGGGTTTAGGTCGTTTGTGCCAGTGCACTGACGCCATGGTAGTGATTTGTCCTCTATCGGATATTTCATTGAAGATATCTTGCAATGAATCGCTTCAGTCTTCGAGATTCACGAGTAGAGTTTGGGGTAAGATTGGCATGAAGCAATCGAACGGCAGGACTCGGGATGTGTGTGTTGTGAATGCTACACGGCGGAACGTAGAGGAGTCGAGAACTGCATCTGTGAATGATGAGACTAGTGAAGGTTTGCGAGAAGAGATGTTGGTGTCGTCATTAGTGGATGAAGCCCCACAGGTAGAGATCATCCTTTACTCTAACTTCTGAATATGGGCACACGCAATTGTGCTATATCCTGTAGGACTCTACTGATACGTGAATTCTACCTCAAAGTTTTAAGAAACGGATCTTTCTGCCGACAATTGCACCTGAGTCTTCGGAATTGGGGTGAGGTGTGAGAGCCACCAACGCATCTTCCATGTTAAATCGATCTCGATTTCTCGCACGCATCTTCGGTCGCGTGTGCAATGTTTGGCCGATTCTCTTGTCGCTATATTAGGTGTGGGGTTCATGCTAACTGGCAGTTTTACCATCCTCTCTTCTTTACATTGTTTGAAAGACTTGCAGAAGCCTCTTTATACCCTCGTGATTCTTAAAATCTGGCTCTACCCTTGTAGGGTTTCTTATAATTTTGCATGATTTGAGCATCTGTAAGTGGGATGCGTAGGAGCGAAAGGTAAACATGCCTTGTCACTATGTGGATTTATAATATTCTATTAAGAGTACGTACCAGTATCACTTGTTGCTCTGGATCCCAGGAACTTGAACGGGCATGAGTTTTTGAGCTGGAGACATCACATTGAGGCATTTGATTACTATCGAATGTACTTTTTGAAGGCTAAGCAGCTCACTGCATGCACCATTCTATGATTTGAGCGTTTTGTGGGCTTTGTTTATGTCGAATTGGAATCGTATCCCATGCAATGTACCTCTTTACATTTGTAAGGCTTTCTATTTCTTTGAATTTGTACTTGTTATTGAACACGAAATTAGATCCATAAGTCTATCTTCTTGTGCAGATCGGGAGGGGCGTGCCAATGAATCTTGCGGCAAGAGTTGGTGTCACCGCAGCAGTCGTCATGATGGCGATTCTTGGGTTTGTGGCGAAACCCCGGAACGAGAATGGTGGAGGTTCTGTCTCAGATCTCATCAAGAGGGGTCAGCTGCGATCTGACAGGGGCGAGTATGTCTCAACCTTGTGCTTTATTTGGCATACATAAGCTGTAATTTGTTTTCAATTTGAAGATTGTGGTGCTATACTGAGTTTTCCAGAGCACGTGCTCAGCAAGTAGTTTTCTTTTGCTAGCTACTGGTCATGTAGTTCTTCGTTCCGCATTGTATTTGTATCCAAATTCTGTTGATGATTGAGTGCAGTGGCAAGGCGCTGAAGTACGAGGACCCCTTCAATAACCCTTTTATTGGTGGAAAGTCGGAGAAAGAGAATTCTTTAGTGAAAATGTACGGTAGACTTTTCAGGGTAGCTCCTATAAAACTGACCGACGAGAAAAGAGTGATTCATCAGAACAGGCGTGTACAAGCTTACAGGTGGAAGCGACCTGTTGTTTTCTTGAGTGAAGGAGAACCTGTTCCAGAAGGAGTGGATCCCGAAGAAGTTCGATGGATACCAACAAACCATCCCTTCGCAACAACTGCTAACTATATCGATGAAGACTTGGCGCAACAGAACGTCATGCAAGTTAGGGGAGTGCCCTCTCGTCTGAAAGCTGAACACGAGGCACTCCGGAAGAAGATGATGGAAGCTGCAAGCAAGGTAAGACATACTACTCGGTATCCGTCAGAAGAAAATTATGAACTTTGTAAATGTGTGCTAGTTCCACAACCCACTCCTTAGAAGATTGAAGTTTCTAGTTTGGATAGTTCAGCTTTCAACCTGACTACTACCATAGGTTTCACATCTTTCTTGGAATTTGAGACTATAGATTGGTAGAGTGTGAAATACTACTGGATGGTGGTCTCAATTACAGTCTTTCCGTATTCATCCACCCAATGCTCTTGATTTATTCTTTTTGCAGGAGCCAGCGTTCAAACTACCTGACAGCTCTGTGGATCAATGGGGGTCTCCTCCAAGTGCTGGTGAAGTGAGTGATAGCGAAATCGAAGGAGAACGGGGGGAGACACGGCGACTGGATCGCAGAAGGTCGCCCTCTGGTACAAACGGATCTCCTCGTCTGCGCAATATAGATGGATCGGACCTCTTAAATGAGCCCCAGTAATGTTTCCATGAAGGGCAACGCGAACAATAGAAGCTCAAATTTGTTGCACACATGGAACAAATGCTCCCATTCCGAGCTGAAGAATTGCACCTGTTTCTAAACACCTTGGACACATAATTCAAAGGCATCTTCTCACAGGAATATCTCTGGATTGGCAAACAAATGTTGTGGGAGACGAGTGAGAAGACTCTGTGGATAGTTTTTATCTCTGAAAGTGGTGCTAGATGCCCCTCCCAGAGGTCATATTTTAGTTGGCTTCAAGGATGGTTAAGTTAATGAAAATGCTAGTTCTTGAGAAGTGTACCATATTCTGTAGGGTTGCAATAAGTTTTGGTTTGATTATAAATAAACCCAACAAGTATTCGAAGGTGGATATTGGTAGCAGGATTGATTCAGCATTTATCCATGTTTCTTGATGTCCACAAGTAATTGACATTCCATCATATGTTTCGCAAAAACTAAGGAAATTTTATATCATAAGATTTTGACTGTTTGGATGCATTCAAATAATATTAATGGAATTGTTTGTGATAACACGCCTATTAACCAGTGCTAATCAAAAAAACACATATGGTTGAGGATTGCAACGAAATGAATTGTAACAATAATTTAAAATTTGGTGCAAATTGTACCTATGTATTAGTTGGATCAATTGATTTACAATGAAAATGTCGTTTTACTTATATTTTATTTCTGCAAATAAAATAAGTGTTATTAGCACATGACAGGATTATATTTTCAGAATTGATTTTTAGTTTTGTACGATGCAAAACAGTACTTGTGCACGAGGGAGAATCAAGGGACAAAAATAAGGATATAGGACTTGTAAAGCACATCATTATATTTGATATGCTACTGTTAAAAAAAAACACCGATTACTAATTCAAATTCTTCTACATACATTTTTTTTTAGAACACTCAACTGTAGTAGCACACAATATTGATATACAAAAAAGTTCCTATTCATTTTTATGCTCTTAAATATAGTAAATGGTGTCGTTCAAATTATTTGAACGAAAGTAGTCCTGTCAAATTATTATTTTTCTTATCAAAATATTGACGTACTTATTACTCAAGTATCGTTATACAGAGGGAAATTACTAATTTAAAAGGTATAAGGTAAATACTTCTAAATTGTATCTTTCTGCGTGTGAGATTTATCAAATTTATTTGTTCATACAATATTATAAATAAGTGCTTTATGTTATTTGAACGTCAATTACACAAATTAGAAGTTTCCAAATTTTCTTCATACTTATTATATGTAATTTAGCTGTGAATTAGAAGTGGGCAGATAATAATGACAATAGCATTTTATTCATTGTCGAACTATAATGATAATTATATCATGATGAAAACGACTATTTCAAAAAGATATAGGGCAATAAATTACTATCTATAGCGATTATTTACAACAATTACGAGTGAGCTGTTGTTTGATTGTGCTCTTACGGGGGAAGCACAAGATCTTGGCTAGTTCAACATCAATTTGTTACCATTCCTTGTATTGACTGAACCCCCTACCAGTTAAAACACTAATCAAAGGCAACAGACCTAAATAACAATAGTCACTTAATTCAAATTGATCAGTTAGATTGCCTACAAAATGATTGATGCTCAGGCCTCCAATACTGATAATATTCACCAAGTACTAGTGAGAGGCATAGGTTTCACAATAGCCTGTAGCAAGCTTAATTGCATTGAAATTTTAGATATGGGACTACCTTAAGAATTAGTTGTGAATGCTCTACGCTAATTCTTAACTTATTGCCTCGGATTTCAGGGTTGAAGATCCTGTGTAAGAGCTACTTGACAAAACCAAACTTTGGAAATTCTGAGATTCTGACAAGGTGAACGTATTATTAGAATTTCTAGCAATGTTGTACAACGTAAATTGTCTTCAGCTTCTCAGGCCAGGTCAACTTTCAGGACACTACAGAATGTCAAAAGCCGTTGCAAGAAGTCTCATACCTTCTGAACAAAAACTGATGTACACCCACTGTGCGAGGGCACGCGTAATGCTGATATCCTGGAACATAGTTACAAGAGTTAGTCAAGTCCAGCTCAAAGTGTAGTTGTGTGTCAAAAATGTGGACGTGATGGAGTTAGATATTGAGAGTTTTTGTTATGTAACTATCATCACTTGCCATCTGCGGCATGATAAAGATTCCAAATAGCTTTAATCTGAAGTCAATCAGCAGTAGCAACCATACTGAATTCAGAGTCTCACTTATTTACTTGCCTGATGGGTGTTCAGCCATCGAGCCGAAACTCTGTCAATCCAACCTTTTTCAAATGCGCAAAGTGGGCTCTCAACGCAGTCCAAAACTATAATGAAAAATAAAAAGGAAAAACTCAGATGATATGCAGAATCTTCCACATCGGTAAGCTCAGTTTCCAATTTCAAAACTCAGTAACCCCTAACAAAAATAGATTTTCCAACTGTAAGAAATTGTACTCAACTCTGGCTAACACAAGTCAGACCCCACATGTATCTTCACTAAAAACGCATGTTGACAACACAATATATCGTATAGATATATCTAGGTTTCACTATGGAATTAAGAGCTTCAAGCTGAGAGGGAATGCTTACAGTTGGGTAGGCTACATAAGGCACATCGAATTCCTTGCACGTCTTCTCGACAATAGGCTGAATGGCTGGATAATGAACATGGCACACTCCTGGAAACAGATGATGCTCAATCTACAAACCCACGAAAGAAATGGTATAAATTTTAGAACTATAAAGAGAGATAATACAAACAAAATCTCAGAAAACGAGGCGTTTCTATAGAAATTTCACAACCACTGAAGTGTAAAGTGCGGAACAGAAAAATTCTAGGTGTCCAATAAATATAGACTGTCGAGAATTGTGGAGCTGGCGTAAGGAAATGAAGAAACAAATACTTGGTTGTTTAATCCTCCAGAGACATGACCCCAGAACCATGAGCGTGGACTGAAATCCGTAGTTGTTGCAACCTGCAACAACAAGTGGGGAATATCATAATCCCGTACAACAATATGCACGGAAAATATCATACAGACCATCACAAACTATAATTGCAAGTAACAGTAATAAATAAATAATTAGCTTCCGATCAAGATATGCCATTCATTTGTTCCAACGCACCAAAAAAGTGAACTTTCGTTAGCTAGCCTAGGCTTCAAAATGAAAAACGTCACGAACTACTCACTGCTATTAAGCGAGCAATACTCAATACATTAGACTGAGAGGCAAATCAAGTCCATGGGTATGGTGACAGAAGACGGAATATTCCGGATCCATGCACAAAAGTGATGTCAAGACGCAGACATGAGTAATACGCATTCAATGATACCTGCATTGCAGCCCATCCTCCCTTCACCTTCCCACCTTCTGGTGTAGGAAATGCAACATCATCCACGACATGTGCTACTTGAAAAAGAAAAGCTAACATCCAACCTGTAATGAGCTGCGACAAACAATCGGATCATTAGTACAAGACACAATATAAGGGCCACGCATTACCAGCTATTGCACGTGTACTTTTTTAGGTGTTCTCTTTCAGGTGTGTCCTTTACGAGGTAAAAAGGAAGACAATAGGAAGACCTTACGAAACTTTCTGATCATATACCTGAGAAGCCACATATAGTGCCAAGAAAGTTCCTCCGGAGTGAACACCGTACACAGATGGCAACACGAACATGTAGAACGCATATAGCAGCTTTCCCTGAAAGAAGATGTTGAACTCCAGGGGGGTCATTTTCGCCACCTTGACACTGCCACAGAATTAGACAAAAAATCAGATATATAAGTTAAATTTATAAAAAATTCTTCCGGAGAAGGTTACTAATCTGGATTATGTTTCAGGTACAGGATGACCACCAATCCTCGTAGTATGGACTCTGGGAGCATATGTAACGAATTGGGAGTGAAGTATTTTTTGAGGAAGAATTTTATTTCAGATAAGCGTCATTCTGTAACATAGTATAATAGATAAGCACACAATGAATTTGGCAATACAATTCGAAAACTATGAAAACGTGCAAGAGAAAACTTTTGTGAACCTGAGTAGGCGCAGGATACTTACGGGCCAATTGATCCTGTGAAGTACGCAAGGAAATCATCTAGAAAAATACTCTTAAGAGCTAGAGTTCCATATAATACTGCCAGGTAGATATGCTGCAAAGGGAAACATCCGCCAATGAGCAATCTACTCACAGATAACAATCCAGGTTTTCACTGGTAGCGATTATCCGCCAAATTTGAAGGGTGACCAGAAAAAACATAGACTCTAACAAAGATCAAGAGAGCATAATATCACGTTCAGAAAGACACTAATGCACAAACAATGACCTCCATCGGTAATGAGAACATGATGAAGTGACAGAAAGACTCGAGTAAATGCCATTAACATTGAAGTAATCAATACCTGATACGCATGATACCATTGTCTTGGTTGTGTGGTCGCAACCCTCCTGACATCTGGATCTTTCACACCTGTTTGGAAAATTGATAACAGCAGAGAGTTGAGTAATAACATCCTTTTTGCGAGGACAAGTGTACAAAAAACCACTTCTTGAAATAATTGTATGATGGCAGCAGCATCAACAGATTCTGTGACGTTGAACTTGTACAGGGACAATGGGATCCAAGAAGCGTATAGTGAGGCAGAAACTATAAAACAGGGTGGCATAAAAGATGTAACAAAACATACGAATATCAGGATCGTAGTTGTCCACATTTGTAAACGAGTGATGTCCCACAACGTGTTGCTGTCTCCACATGAAGCTGCAACTCATGCACACATTTATGCATTCAGACTACCATGACATTTAGCAGGCAACTGCCGTGCTAACGAGTAATAGGTGATGTGGTAAAAAATGATTAGGGTAGTGCAATTATGACCTAAACGTTCCATCATCTAAATTAAGTACATGATTAATAACCAAGATAACTGAAATATAAGCGAGCAACACCCAAGCATCTGCTTAAAAGACAAATACCCTGCATTATCCCACCCTGCACATGAATTCAATTCCACCATAAGAATTCCACCTAAGCTACGTAGGGTTCTAATTTTACCTACTGGCTCCGACTAGATCTAGGGAGGCTCCCATGATATATCCAAAGCCACGCCATTTAGTGTATGAACCTGCCAGTTTGACAAAATCATCACCAGTAATCAATAGCCGACTCAATGACAGCATCCAAGCTATATGTCACGTCTGACATCAATTTATGCATTTGTTGAAAAGTATAACTAAAAGAATCCGTCGCTCACGGACGGGTCCCGACTCCAAAACATAGTGTCATTAATCAGATAAGCCGATGCAGCCGCAAGAGCAACAAGAGTAAAAGAACCGAGGATTAAGTTGACACATGGGTTCGGATTGATGTCACTTCAGAAAAGGAGGAAGTTGAGCCTACCATGATTTCCATCATGTTGAATCGACACGCCGACTTCCGCTGCGAAGAACCCCATCCACAATGCGAAAAACAAAGAAACAAGGACACTTGAAGACCAGAAGAACGCTAAATAGTAACTGGCGAAATATCCCCCAAGAATGAACAATGACTTCAGGATCATATGTGGATGAATTTGGGGGTTTATCTGCAGAGACAGAAAACATCATTTATTGCAAGTTCACTGCGATTAATCCTAAGCTAAGTCGTGAATCGGAACAAGTAAACCCCTCTAAGCCTCTAACTCATACAGGCCCGTGTCTAAAAAAAGGCACTATATTATCTCTCCATATCCTACCGCCAGAGGGAAAGCTCTCCCAGGATTGTGATAACCACATGAGAGCTACATTCAAATGAAGATTTATTTTTTTTAAAAGGTAATGTCTACCTAGCGACTTGTGGGATTTCGAAATGACTTCAACAGCAGAACTGATCAGATGTTCATAACCAACTTCCGAACTCTCATTGTAGTAAACATAATTAAGTTTTTTTTAGCAATACTAAATAAATGACCAAAAAAAATTAAACCACCATTTACCAAGATTCTTCTGAATCTGATACAAAAACACGACGCGGCCAGTAAGATGGAACACCTTTGATGAGAAGTTCTGAAGTCATCACAATGTAGCATTAAGAGCACTACCAAGTTCCCTACCTCGCTTAAACCACAAATAGAAGGTTCCTAGTTCAAACCTTGTTACTCTTGAAATAAGATTCAACTCGTTGCTTCACAACCAAATAGAAATCTTCATTTTCGGCATCTGCATACTCCAGAGTTGCTTTCTTAAACTTGTCATCACCAGCAGACGGTACTAATTCCCCAATACAGTACTTCGCGAGCATTTTCCTGCATTAATCATTGTTTTAAGCATCGGAAAACTAATGTTACCAAAACAACACACTAAAGTACTTCCTAGTGCAGAGAAGTCCTTCAACTGCATACTTAGTGATTATGTGAAGTCCTGCAGCATTAAAGAGGCACAAGCCCCCAAAGATGCATGGAAGACTGTCAGGCACAAGATTATCAACTTGTAGTTAATGAGTGTAAATTGCATGTGCACCTGACATAAAGGGGGTGATAGGAATCGAAAAGCTGAGTGGAATCCTGCCCTGCTTTTACGTGGATGAGACTGCCCCCCGGATGATTGGGAATCCTAACACAGCAAACGAATGAATAGTGTGAGTCAGCTTTTACTGGCCAGAATACTTTGACAAAGCCGCCCATAGCATCATAGAAAGAACTGCATCCCTATTTAACTGAATCATAGGACAACAAGGGGAGAAAGATCAGAGCCGTAACACTAAAAACTTCCCAAATCATCCTTAATTTGGACTACTCAAAACAATTCTTCTCCGATGACCATTGTCAACCTACAAATCAAACTTTTGAACATATATAAATCAAACTTTCACATATATAAATCAAGTCCATGAATTCCGAACTCCGCAACTTTCATCACAGTCCAAAGACAAATCACATGAATCTCACCAGCTTGTGACATCGTAGACTTTGCCCCATATCACCAACCAACAATCTGCTGGGGTGTTGTGGCGGCTGACATCTTCAAGGGTGTACTTCTTCAAAGTTTGCTCTTGTTCGGGACCCTTTGAATTCGACGTTCGTAGCCTCAATTCGTCAGAAGGCACGAGCCCAGCAGTATCCGCAGAGTGGGGCGCCATTGCACCCAGTTGCTTCGTCCCAGCCCTACATAATAACCAAATACTTCAGTTCGACATTGACATCCGCATCCACACAGAAGCAACCAAAAAAAAATCCTCGCCATTGATGCCTTGCATACAGCAGAATGTTAATGCCTCAGTGGTGCTATTTGTGTAAAAAGAACAATTAAGAATTCGCTATCACGGATACTTTCCGAATTGCATGAGAGAGAGACGGCATGAACTGCATGCAAGAACAGAATGACACCAGAGCAAGTCTACAGAGGCTTCGATAAAGACCTAAGTTACTCCTACAAAGCCAGCATCAATGCATGATTGTGAGGTTCGGTAGTGTCTGCCACAATGGCAAGACCTGATCAGTAACTCTAGCAGATCAATATGGGTTTTTCTAGTGTGAACATGAATCACAACAGATACTTATACCCTGAAAAAGATCCTTCAATAATCTTAGCCCACTATCTCGATTCCAAAACGTGGGGAGATGACAAGGCGGCCAAAGAGCCAACGACAATGGTCACACAACAGAAACTACACTTCCTTCAGACACTACTGCTGTCTACGCAAAGAACCTAATAACTACGTAAAAAAATCACATTAAAATGGGAACAAAATAGATCATTAGTGTTCACTGCCGGAATCTGGAAATAGTAAATGGCGTCACATGGCATTCTGCATTGCTGAAAACCAGACAGTATGTAGACACGACCAACACAATCCACACGACTAGCACTCATTCCACTCGTGTCCCCACATCCGGGTCAAAACAATGAAAGAAAAGACTAGCAATCGACAAGCAACTCCAACCAAGCAATCTTACCAACCGAGATCAGTGCCTCAAACTAACCTCGAAATTTCCTACCCTCTTCCCTCCCTGGAAGACGGAATGCCGCGGTCGCTGCACCAGCACACGTCCTTCTCCGTCACCGCCTCACCCACCTGGCCACGGCCACCAATGGCGACTACAATCTCATCACCACCACATCCCAAACCACCTCAATAAACCTCAACACACAACGCACACCCCATCAAACCCAACAACCAAAACCTGAATCACGACCAGCAGAGGCAAACGCGATGGTGGACACCCCAACTGCAGAACTCAAAAATCTCCCGAAAACTACAAACACCACAAGTCTAACTCGCGACTATCAAAAGGCAACACTACACCCACGAGGCCGACCCACAGCGATCCAGAGACGCACATTCAAAGCACGACGAGAGCAAGAATGGGTGCGCACCGAGGCAAGGAGACCTCGAGGGGCGACAATGCAGGGGGGTTGGAAAGTGAAGCAAGGAATTGAGCAACAATGCAGCGGAGAAACAAAACCAGTGCAACACTCCAGGATAAGTTGGCCGAGAGGGGAAGATAGGTCACGGTCACGAAGGAGAAGCCCAAGCGAAGGAAGATCCACCCGTGTGGCGTCCACTGGTCGGCGGATGTTCGGGAGTCTGACTGGCACGGTTTTAGAAACGAGAGTGGGAGGTCGCAAAAAAAGAGGTTCGGCACTTGACGGAGAGAACGAAGCAACAGGGTGGGGCCCTGCCCAACCTTCAGCCCGTCGTTGTGTCCCATCTTCTGCCTTACAATGAATGCCGAAATATCGGGCCGGGCAAAATATCCCCCACACACCCCCACCAGAGCAGTGAGTCAGTCGCTCTTTCACTGCATGGGGTCGGTCGGAAGGTCGGAAGGTCGGTAGGTCAGTCGGTTGGTCTGTGATACGACGGGTGATGCGGATCGCTTGGGGGTTGCAAGCTTTTCGGCTTTATTGATGGTCTTTAAAAGCTGCGAAATCACTTTAAAGTATCGATTTCGGTGCATGCGACAATAGTGAACAAAGTGATGATACTTTAATAATTTTACTTTTATAATTTTACCTTGTAATTGTCACACGCATGTAAGTTGATTTTCACATGCCATATTGTGTTTTTTATGTACATTTATCAGAATTCATTCTTTAACTTATATTTTTCAGATACACAAAGGAGAAAGAAAATAAAATAAAAATAAAAATAGTTGAGGCAATTGTTTGGAAAATGTTTCATTGAAAAGAAGAGTAGTTCTTTTTGAGCAGAAAGGAGCACGACCCTTCATTCTCATTGAGCCATGGGTTTCATCTTTTCGGCACTTCCACCAATCCCGATGATCTTACATTACCATATAATATTTTTTATATATTTTTATAAAATAATAATAAAAGATATAATTCTGATTCTTCGGAATCTTCCATGAAGAGGCCAGAGTTGAAGCCCCACCTTTTTTCATTATTCTGCAATTGGTCAAGAGAAATCAAAATGGGTTTTATAGAACTTCAAAATCTTCTCAAGAGTTTTTATAGAACTTCAAAATTTTTGCATGTAGTTCTTGATGTAGTTTTATTCTTATATGTTGTTAAGTGCATTCATGGTCTAGGAAGTTGTGAAACACCTTAAAATAATGTTTTAAAATACTAGTATTGTATTTCTTTGCTGAGCTACATCATTGATGCACTAACATTGTGCTTTTATGTGCTAAATTTCTTAAGGGATTTTTTTATAGTGATAAGAGAATTTTTGCAAGATTAAAAGTTTTTTTGTAAAAGTTGATAGTAATTAAAAAATGAAATCACTAATTTATTTACAAAGAAAGAAATTTGGATTTTTAAAACAACTTCTTAATTTTGATTTCGATAGCTCTATCTAGTTTATTATATTATATTTTATTTTCTTTAATACACCTCTTTCTTAGATATGACTTTAAGTAAAGGTGAAGGCTTGAGAGTGCTTGAGAAATTTAGAGGAGAAAACTTCTATTAGTGGAAGAAAAAAATTGAACTTTTATTGGCTTCATTAAACCTTTGAAATATTATTGATGAAAGTGAAGAGCCTCCAAGAAACAATAAAAATTTCAAAATAAAAAAAGAGTACAAACATTGTGAAAAGAAGGTTTTTAAGTTGATTGCAACAAATCTTGATGATGCCAATTTTTCACATATAATTGCTTGCCATAGACTAATGAAAGCATAAAAGACTCTTGGCAATATTTATGAGAGTAGAAACCTTGCTAACATTCTATGAACAATAAAGAAGACCTTCACAATAAACATGGAAGAAATAAATGACCTCATGGTTCATATTAACAACACAAAATTACTTCCAAATGAACTAGTAGTTGTTGACAAATCAGTTGATAATAAGGACATTATGTTGATATTGCTCATTAATCTTCCAAAATCCTAGAGCTATCTCATTGTGGCATTGGAATCTATTAACATAAAAGAGATTACCATGAATTATGTAATATCAAGACTAGGTCCATGAAGTGACTAAGAAGAAAGAAAAAGAGCTTCAAATCAATGATTTGGCTCTATTTTCAAGACAAGGCAAAAGTAGCTATTTTCATCAACGTGATAATTCAAAAAATAATATAAAAAACTATAATATATATATATATATATATATATATAAATTATGTTATTTTTTAAAAAATAAATATTATTCCAAAAAAAATATATAGAAAATGAAAATAATATTTATGAAAACTTTGATAGAAATGACTATACTTTCATAACAAATAAAAGAGCTTTCATAGCTATCATGTCTAAGTGGATTATAGATTTTGGTGCTACTATGTACATGATATCATATAAGTATTTATTTGATATATATATATATATATATATATATATATATATAGTTATTTTAATAACAAAAGTTTGATAAAAAGACAATGGTATCGTATAAGCTATTGGAATAGACTCTATTATAGTGGAGATTGTAGTGAAGGACCAAATCAAGAAGATCAAATTGAAAGAAGACTTGTATGTGATAAAGATGAAGAAGAATCTCTTTTAAGTGAACAAACTTTTATCATATGATTATAAGGTTTAATTTGATATAAATGTATGTTTTATGAAGATATTGAATAAACCACTTGCAAAGAAGTAATGTGAGTGCAAGATGAAATTATTACATATGAATAATAGAAGTCAATATATATCAAAGCATTTTGATGGATTCTTGAAGATTCAAGGTATTGCAAGATAAATCTCTATTCTTTACACTCTACAATAAAATAAAGTTGTTAAAAGAGTAAATTGTACCATTGTGGAGATATCAAGGAATATGTTTTCTGTACAAAACTTTGGGCATAAATATTGAATAAAAGCCATGATTATTGTAATATATATAAGAAATAGATATCTTATAAGTGTATTCAAATCAATGACTCCACAAAAAATTTAGAGTAGCAGGAAACCTTGTATTTCATATATTAAAGTTTTTAGATATATTGCTTATGCCAAGGTATCAGATTATATGAAGTCCAAACTTAATGCAAAAGATACAAAATATATGTTTGTTGGATTATATAAAGGTATTAGGGCATATAAGCTAATGTATTTAGAAACTAAGAAGATCATCAAGAATTGTGATGTAGATTATTTGAAATATAAGAGTACTTGTGAGCACTTAGAGATGTATCCAAGAAAGAATAATGATATATTTGAAGATACACGTTCAATTCTAATAAAGAAAGAAAAAATAATAATGACAATAAAGATAGTAGAAATACAAATCAAGATAGAGAATCAATGAAGGTAGATCAAAGTATGTCTATAATTGCTAAAACCAACAATGAAGACAATCAAGATATTAAAGATGATAATGATAAAGAGTATCAACCACTAAATGTAAAGAGCCAAGTTTTAATAGAGAACAAATTTGCAAAAGACCGTGGAGTGTATGAAGGTGAATCTTCATTAAGTGTAAAGAAATATCCTTTGAGAGATAGAAAATAACTTGGTGAATAGTGGAAGAACCATATCCTATCCCAAGTAAGTAAAAAATATGCCAAAATTATATTTTTTGTTGATTCATTGAATTTGTGTAATGCAATAAAGTCTATAGATGCAATGAAGTGAATAAATGCCATAGAAGAGAGTAAAAATCATTCATGGACAATGAAACATAGAAATTGATTCAACTTCTAACAAATCAATCTTCAATTACTTGTAAATAAGTATTGAAAATCAAAAAGAATATAATAGACATTGTTATAAGATACAAGACTAAATTGGTTGTTAAAAACTATTTACAAGATACATGTATTAATTTCAATGAGATATTTACTTCCATGGCCAAATTCACTGCTATTAAAATTATTGTAACAATTACGGTTATAATAGACTTGAAGATACATTAAATGAATGAAAAGATATATTTTAAAAATAGAAACTTGAATTAAAACATTTACATGAATCAACCTCAAAGATTTGTTAAAGAAAAAAACATCTTATTTATAACTTGAAGAAATCCTTTTATAAAGTCAAACAATTAACAATAATATGGTATCAACATATTGATACATTTTTTGTGAATGAATGATTTATAAGAAGTAATGTTGATTATTCCATGTATGTAATGCAATCAAATGAATTCATATTAATTTTTATCTTTTATGTTGATGATTTGATCATCTTAACTAATATATTAAAGATGATGGATTTATTGAAGGCAAAGTTAAAGAGTATGAGATGAGTGATTTGAGAGAGCTTTATTACTATTTAGAAGTAGAGTTTATTAAAGATTGTGCTAAAAAGACCATTATGATAAGCCAAAGTAAGTACATTGAAGAAGTATTGAAACAATTCAATATGGTGGACTATAAGTCTATTGGAACACCTTTGGAAGCCAATTTGAAGTTGATGAAACTCACAGATGAGGAGTTTATTGAAGTTGAAGGTCAAATAAAAGGTATTTCGTACAAAGCAGTAGTAGGCTTATTTATATATCTAATGGTTGATACAAGGGTGGATTTTGTATATTCAATGAGTGTTGTAAGCTAACACATATTAAAGATGAGACAAATCCATTGAACAACTATAAAAAAAATCATGAAGTACTTAAAACATACTTTGTATTTCAAATTGTGCCTTGAAGATAATAAAATTATTTTACATAGTTATTATGATGTAGATTGGGTTGGAGATACAAATGATAAAAAATCAACAATGAAGTATGTGTTCTTTATTAAAATAGGAGTTATTTCATGAAATTACAAGAAACAACTGAAAATTGCAAGGTTAATAATAGAGACAAAGTACATGGTAGCAAGTCATGATTTAATAGAGGCAATATGGCTAAGACAACTTTTGAAAGATATTGAAGTAGTACAAATAGAAATAATTCCAATGGAGTGTGACAATTAAGAATGACTTGTATTTGCAAAGAATCCAAAGCATCATTCAAGCACATTGACATTCAATATCAATTTATAAGAGAGAAGATTGAAATAGGAATGATTGATATAAAATATTATATAATAAAAGACATGCTTCCTGATTTGTTAAAAAAGACATTAGTAAAGGATAGACATCACATATTAACAAAGGCACTAGGATTGAAAGCCTTTGATC